ACCCCACTCCTACTGCAACCAACAACACTCTAACACCCGAAGGGCTTATTATGCTTAACCCTAGTCAGTTCCCAGAAAAATTAGATGGGTCAAACTACCTGGTATGGAGAGATCAGGTGATGGACCTCCTATTTGGTTCCCAATTGGACTGCTACATCGATGAAAAGGTGTCTCCTCCTCCAGCAAGTGACGCAGCTCGCCATCTCAGGTGGAATAGACAAGATCGCCTGCTCCGCCATGCCCTTGTCTCTTCTCTCAGTCCAGCTTGCAAACCTTTAATTGGTTCTGCACGAACCTCCGTCTCTGTCTGGAAAACGCTGGAGCGTCTCTATGGGACCCGGTCAGCCTCCAAAGTTCGGAGCCTAAAGGACCAATTTCGCCATGCTCAGCAAGGATCTCAATCTGTAGGAGAATATCTTCACCACCTTCGGACTCTCGCAGATGAACTTGCCATGGCTGGACGACCGGTGGACGACGAAGACTTCACCAATCAAGCCTTGGAGGGTCTTCGTCCAGAGTTTGAGTCAATCTCTGATTCTATCAGTACACTCAAAGATATCGACTTTGAAGAACTTCACACTCTACTCGTCCGCTTTGAAGACAAACTCCGTCGGAAGGAGCTCTTGAAATCGTCATCGGTTGTCACTGTAAACACGGCGGTTACAGAAGAGAAGAACGAAGGTGATGGCGTCGTTCTGGCCGCTCGTATGACATCCTCCCAGAGTCATATGGACCGCTCCATATTAGGCCCAGCCCCAGTAAACCAATCCCAGAATCTGCCTAATAGGTCCAATACCCAGAACAGAAATCATACCCGGAAGCAGAACCGGAATCAACGGCCCAACAACCTTTATAATTCAAATGGACGGGGAAATAATTATTCCGGAGGAACCACCAATTCCAGGGGTAATTTTAATTCCAGTGCTATAATATTATGCCAAATTTGTGGCAAACCAAACCATCTGGCCATTAATTGTTGGCACCGGTTTGAACAACAAACTTACCCCCCTCAAGTGAATACTGCCGTGACAAGTAAAAATGGATGGATACTGGATTCTGGAGCCACTAATCATGTCACCAATAATCTTAATAATCTCACCTTGGCATCAGATTATACCGGCACAGACTCTCTCATTATTGGTAACGGTAAAGGTCTTTCGATTGCACAAGTCGGAAATATGAACCTTCACTCTCTTTCCTTACCTAATACTCTTTATGTTCCCTCTATTCATACTAATTTAATTTCCGTTGCCAAATTGTGTCCGTGTGTCGTGACAATAATGTACTAATTGAGTTTCACCCTTCTTTTTGTCTTGTTAAGGACCGCAAAACGGGAGCAACTTTGTTACGAGGTATGAATAAAGGTGATGTCTACAGCCTACCGGATGTACCAGTTCCATCATCTCTGTGTGCCAATGTTACTACACAATTTTCTCTTAATAAATGGCATTGTCGTCTAGGACACCCCGCCCTTCCTATTACTCAAAAGATTTTTTCTTCACTAGGTATTTCTTTTAAAGATGTTGACAAAGATGTTTCCCTTTGCACTTCATGTGCCAGTAATAAAAGTCATAAATTGCCCTTTGCTAAATCTTCCCTATCGAGTTCTGGCCCCCTTGACTTAATTTATACAGATGTTTGGGGTCCTGCTCGCATTAGTTCTGTTGATGGATTTCGATACTATGTTATTTTTGTTGACCACTATACCAAATATATTTGGTTCTACACCATCACCCATAAGTCTGAGGTAACCCCAATTTTTCAGCAATTTAAGAAACTTGTAGAAAATTTTTTCCAGAGAACTATTAAAATGGTTTATTCTGACGGGGGAGGTGAATATATAACTCTAGGCAAATTTCTTGGTTCATGTGGTATTTCTCATTTACTAACACCTCCCTATACCCCTGAGCATAATGGATTTGCTGAACGCCGACATCGTCATATTGTAGAAACAGGAATTACTTTACTTCACCACGCTTCCATGCCACTTAAATACTGGTCCTATGCCTTTCTTACTGCTGTATACCTCATCAATAGGCAACCAGCGGCGTCTCTAGGTTTCTGTACCCCATATGAGAAACTTTTTCAAAAACCTCCTAATTATACAAAACTTGCTATTTTTGGGTGTCGATGTTTTCCATGGTTGCGTCCTTACACATCTCATAAGTTAGAACCTCGATCTACCCCTTGTATTTTTCTTGGGTATTGTGATCAGCAGAGTGCTTACCGTTGTCTTGATCCAACTACCAATCGAATCTTTATTAGTAGGCATGTTGTATTTGATGAGTCTGTCTTTCCCTTCTCTACAATGTTGACGCCAGTTACAAATCTATCTACTGAGATTGATAACTGGCTTCAACCACCCATCTCTTACCTTCCTATTTCAGGTACACCGGTAGCAGAGACGTCCCCGGTAAGTCATATCCCAGCTCAACAAGAATCTCCCGGTATTTCTGGTTCTACCAATACTACCACACCACCCATGCCTAATCCACTGCCCCTCATCACATATCACCGCCGACCAAAACAACAACAACCTGGCCCTTCTACTCCACCATCTCGTAATGAATCTACTACCACTTCCCCCACCACCACTACTGATGCTCCCTCTCCACCCAAACGCACTCATCCAATGACCCTTCGCCCTCGCAAACAAGCTCATATTGTCACTAAATCACCTTTACCTCATCATATTATTCCTACTTGTGCTTCTAAGGCTTTACAGGTACTCGAGTGGCGAGAGGCTATGTCTGTAGAATTTGATGCCTTGGTTCAACAAGGAACTTGGGAACTTGTTCCCGCTCACCCTGGTCAGAATGTTATTGGTTGCAAATGGGTATATACGGTGAAATACAAGCCAGATGGTTCCTTGGATCGTTTCAAAGCTCGATTGGTGGCCAAGGGTTTTCATCAGCGCCCTGGAGTTGATTATTCTGACACTTTTAGCCCGGTTGTTAAACCGGTCACTATTCGGGTTGTGCTCACCATTGCCCTTTCCCATGGATGGTCAATTAATCAACTAGATGTCAACAATGCATTTCTTCATGGGAATCTCCAAGAGGAAGTTTACATGAAACAACCTCCTGGTTTCAATGATGGTAATGGGAAAGTATGTCGTCTACGCAAATCTATCTACGGTTTAAAACAGGCACCTCGGGTGTGGTATCAATCTCTTAGTGGATTTCTTCTATCCCTTGGGTTTTATCAATCAGTCTCCGATGCCAGTCTCTTCATATTCTCTTCTTATCATGCCTATATCTATGTGTTGGTGTATGTAGATGATATCATTGTCACTGGTTCTACACCTGCTTTGGTTCGACGGACTATTGATTTACTAGCACAGAAATTCTCTATTAAGGATTTAGGATCCTTACATTACTTCTTAGGCATGCAAGTCACACCTACACCAACTGGACTGTTTCTGGATCAACACAAGTACATTAAAGATTTATTACAGGTGTTAAAAATGGATGAAGCTAATCCTGTATCCACGCCTTTGGCATCCTCTTCTTCTTTAACTCTATTTGATAGTTCGGGCTCTTGTGATGTGACTCTCTATCGTCAAGTGATTGGATCACTTCAATACTTAAGTCTCACCCGACCAGACATTGCCTTTGCCATCAACAAACTAGCTCAGTTTATGCATAAACCCACGGTCAATCATTGGCAGCTTGTAAAACGCCTCTTGCGATATCTTCACGGCACTGCTTCTCATGGTCTTTACCTTCATCGCAGCTCATCTCTTTCTTTACAAGCCTATGCCGATGCAGACTGGGCCGGGAATCCAGATGACCGCTCCTCTACAAGTGCTTATGTCATTTTTCTTGGTGACTCACTTATTTCTTGGAAATCATCCAAACAACGGACCATCGCCAAATCTTCCACCGAAGCGGAGTATCGGGCTCTATCTACCGCTGCCTCTGAAATTCTCTGGATTGAATCTCTTCTTCATGAGTTACGGCATCCACCTCCTTCTCCTCCGGTCCTCCTTTGTGATAACAAAGGTGCTACTACTTCTTCGGCAAACCCTGTCTTCCATTCCCGTATGAAACATGTTGCAATTGATTTTCACTTTGTGCGACAACGCGTGCAGCATGGACTTCTTCGTGTGTTTCATATCCCTTCTCATGATCAGTTGGCTGACATTCTCACCAAACCACTTCCAAGACAGCGCTTTACTCTTCTCAAGGACAAGCTCAGGATTCTCGAGAGTGATCGAATACCTGGCTTGCGGGGGCGTGTAGAAGAATCCAGATTCTAGGATTTTAGTTACAATTATTTATTTATTTCAGTTACATATGTTTATAGTTAATATTGTATTTAGTACCTTACGTTATATACTCTCTACATCTATGTATATATACCACAACATATTATGGAATAAAGTATGCAATTCAGCCTAAACATTCTATCTCTTTTAAATCTCTTTAGTTCTCAATAAGATGATTTCATTTCCACCTTCTACCTTGTTTACATTCTAATAATTGGAAATGATGAAAATCGTTACTATAGAATGATGTGCAGACAAAATGGTATATATGTCTGTCCAAAGTAAAGGTATCAATCACTATAGCGCCCATTATTGACTTTTGCTTTGTTTAGTAGGTCACAGCTGTTTGCATATACTACGTATGAATTATGATACAGTCAAACACCATGTTCCCAGTAGACAAGGAGCAAAGAGAGAGGATATTTGGAGAGGCCAAATACTATAAATGGGTCCTGTTTAAAACTCACACTTTTTGGTCCCAAAAAATCTAATTTTGCCAGGTAATAAACTTTGCCAAGCAATAGCTAAAAGTTATGTTTAATATATTTGTTAAACAAACAAATAATAAATTTAAAAAAAAAAACAAGCAAGGTTTGTGATTTTTGAAAAGTGTACCTTTTCAAAGGTAAAGAGTTGTAAATTGGACAAACAAGACTCTTTTTGGGACAAAAGTACAAAACAATTGTGAAAAATGAAAAAATGAAAAAATGAAGCCAATTGAGCATGATACCCTTTTATCTGCCCGAAGAGAAATATAAGCTCGATCAAGAGTGGACACGTCTCCATTCTCCTCCAGCAACCTCAAATAGAATAAGATGTACTTGCGGATGCAAGTGATAAACTTCCTGGAACTTTCAGCCAGGTTAACTTCCAGGGCTCTCCTGTTCCCTGAAACACCTGAAGTTCTGCGCCTGTGACATGAAATTGTTCCTCTGTCTTAAAACACACTTATATACCAATGAGCTAAGGATCCTGGATCACATAACTATGTGCATCAATAAACATGATATGAACATGTTTTATTATTATTATTATTATTATATTATTATTATTATTATTACTACTACTACTACTCTTCGCCGCCGCCGACATCATAATCATCACAATTATTAGTTATTAGTAGTTTCCTATTCGTAATAATGTAATATATTATTCATTTATTCAGTTTTAGTCAACTTATTATTAGTCTGGCTTTATTTTTCCTAGTATGATTTGGAGCTATCGTAATAGATAGCTACATAAGGGTCTTCAATATTGATTTTTAAAGAACCTTTAAAGAACTAATTCTTTTGATTCTTGACAAGGCTGGGGACTGATAATTCTAGCTTAGGCTTATTTTTTTCATCTGTCTCTTATTTTTCCCTAGACCACAAATGACATTCCAACCATGCTCATAATAGAACTCTATTCACAAGTCTAATGAACATTAACTTAAAGCATTAGCAATTAGCCTGCACCATGAAGCTCACCATGCTAGGTGAGCCTGGGCTAATGTTATAATATGCAAGTGCATGAACTTGAAGTTGAGTTTTATAGTTTGAAATGTTCATAAAATATTGAGCAGATTTCCTCATTTAAAACCCATTGGGTAACTTGAAAAAGTCACCCTCAGAACTACCACCTGCTGTAGAAAGAACAATCATGAATCTGAACTAATATGCGCATACTCAGAGCCTATATACACACAGATCCTTTGAAACTTCATAATCAAGTGAAAGAAGTATACACTAATCCACATTTCTTAATTTCTTGATTGGCAGTTGAAACAAGCTTCCATCTTACTGATGAAGTGATAAGTGGTGGCTCTTTTATCTTTGTCACCACCACCACACCAGACCACCCATTCATTATTTTCGTAACCATAAATAGCATATGAAAGTGAAAGTATGCAAAAAAGTACAAACACTAACCTTCCTTTTTTTACCGTACTGTCGATCTCCCACATGTTTATTGTAAAGGAAGAACGGTGCGATTTAAAACAAAAGGAAAGCTCCTCCTTTGCCCTCTCTAGATCACCATCCCCGTTTCTTCTGTACAATCCTTTTGCAAGCATATATCTAGCCTTGTGGAAATGTTTAAGGTCCCCTTCCACACAAGATTCAAGCGCCAAAAGGCAATCTCTGTAAAGTATATGCCAAACTTCTTCAAGTTTATGTAAATCCACTTGACTGCTATTGTTTGTAGACGGAGAAGGAAGTATTTTAGAGCCCGTGTTCCGAAGGATATCCATTACAGCCTCCATTGTAGATTGGTTGAAAGAATATGTAGCAGCAATCTGAATGTATTGAGCAACATAAATGGGCATCCAGTAAGGAGAAAGATAGACAAATACTAACCAGAAAGGTAAGAAGCAACAATGAGAACTCCATTAAAGACTATTCTTTCAAATATTCATATTGAAGTAACAAGTACATTCGATATTATTATTTAAGGAAGATAATACCTTTAAAGCATCTTCATTTTGCTTCTCGCATTTGCAAAGTAACTTCAACCGTGAAGCGTGCATCCTGTAAAATGGATCTACAGCCAATGGATTCAAGGCAATGGACTTAGCATAGTATGAGAATGCTGTATCATGTGAGTGCCCAAGCTTCTCACAAAGTTTTCCCAGGTAAAATGCACGAGACCAATCTTCCCTGAATTTTATAGGCGAGGTCAACACTTCAAGAAATGAACTAATTTCGAGTAGCTTGCTACAGAAGTAAGAGAACATACTTGTGTGCAAATGCCTTCTGGAAATGCATCATTGAGTTTTTACAATACATCATCCAGTTTTCATCTTTGGATGGCACAACAGACCTTTGATCATAGAAGGGTACTACGTTCTGAAGACCATCATAATACACCAATGCCAATAATTCATGCATCTCAGCCTGAAATCAGACAATAAATCATAGTTGTATAATAGATGTGTGAAAGCAAGAGAAGCTGACATGATGATAACTGCATGGTAAATTTAATGTCTTTCCTGCTCTTTTAACACATCCAGTGCATTTGCAAATTAAAATTTTCCATTTTTATCCCAAGACTATTGGGTCAATAGGTTATTTACACTTTCGGTACTCAACTTTCATTTTTCTCCTATTGGTGCACGATACTAGAGATCACTCAAAACGTATGGTCTAATAACAGAAATGATCTAATAAGTCATCAGGCTAAAGTCAAACTTGCTTTGTAACATATACAAGAGAGTATACACCTATACCTGTTGAACTGCTGTCTTCGCCAGAGCTAAGGTCATCAATAAGCACCGCCTGCTCCTCCTTCGGCTTGCTTCAACTCTCTCTGATAGTTTAGAATTGTTCCTCCACCCCAACACATTTATTTGTTTACTACCATCATTAAGCAGCAAGTCCACCTCCTACATGGCCAAAGAATTCTGTCAGTAATGAACGCATCAAGTAGTGTCAATTCCCTATCCTTTTCCTCTTAAAAATTGTGCCTTCAACTTTGCACTATCCTTATTTGTGGAGATAATTTTTACCTCATCATAGATGTTTCCAAGTCGCTGCCAGCTCTCTAAGCGGAATGGATTGTATAATAAATCATATTTGAAAAGATTTGCATTTTGTTGCACAAAATCATCTCCTTCCTTGGTAAGAACAAAGCCGGCCCATTTGTCAGTGGCACTAAGTTCTTCAGACTGAGCAAGAAGATAATACAAATTGCTATAAACTTCGAGATATGGATCAGAGCTGCAAACAAGATTTAGCATATCATACCGTACGTCCCTTATTTAGAAATTTGTACAGTACCCTCCTGAGTTATACTACCTCTGTCCCCCTAAGATTGGGACAAAAGGGAGTGGTGCGGTTTTTAAGAAAAATAGAGTTTTGTGGTTGATAATGAATTGATAAAATGGGAATAAAGTAAGAATGAATCAGAGCCACACAAATATTACCAAATATGGTATGAGACAAATTTAGTAGGACGGACGGAAAAGGAAAAATGGGACAATTATAGTGGAACAGAGGGAGTAATTAATATTATGGCCGGTTTTAATTATGTGAGACTACTTAAGTATGTATTTACCTCTGTGCTAAAGATACTTTATGTTGTTTGAGGCCTCCAGGGTCTGGAAATATTATATTTGTCATAGAAGCAAGAAAATCACTTGATCCTGCTTCCCCTGATAGTTTGTCTTCACACAAATCAGGATCATCCAAGAACTTATCAATTGCATTTCCAGCTAAAATATCATCAGGTGGTTCTGTGAAGTGTTTGCGGATAGCCCTTAGTACCCTTCTAAGTTTAGCTAGTCCCGTTTTCTGATTGATGCCCAAGATTAACATGATCAACAATTACAAAATTCAATCAGATCAGCAGGAAAATTATTCAGGAATATAATTTAAAATTCAGATATCACTAACTATTTTGGCGAAGATAGAGAAGAGATAACTCACTGAACAAGCTTTAGCATAGGGAAGTAAATATTGGAAAACATCAGCACATTGTTCCTTCGTCTGATAATCACACCGGCTTCTGTTCTTGTGAATGGATAAGTCATCTTCGTAAGATGAATCGGACCTGAGATTTAGACCATACAAACAGAAAAAGCACTGGTTCAATGCATTGTCAATCCCAACTTCAAGATCCTCCCTTTCATCTTTAGTCAGTTCACTATCACATTCAACAACATGATCTGCTTTCCCTGATCTAGAACCATCACCAACTTTTTCGAAATTAGCAACTTCAATTTTCTCATTTTCTAAACCTTTATCAGGGGAAGTATTTCCGTCAGATACTTTAGCTACATCTATGTCTGCCTGTGGTACTTCCTTAGCTACATCTATGTCTGCCTGTGGTACTTCCTCATTCAGCATATCTAGTTTCAATTCATTCACTGAACTGTCAGAATGGTTAGCATGAGAAAGCTCCTCAGACCTCTTGGTATGGCTAACATGGGAAGCCAGTTGATCAGGCTGAGAATTAGACTTAAGCTTCATATCCAAGGCCAAAAGGTACTTTATTGCAAATTTCAAAAAAGTTCCTTCTTCCACTTCACCATCCCCACGCGCACAGCAGAGACCAAACTCAGCAAGCATGTCATGGACTGCCACAATCAACTCTGTCTGGTATAAGCATGGTATAGAAATTAAATCGGCTTTAAACCTTGGAATATGAAATGCAATGAAAAGATCCATATCATCCAAAGTAAGAGATATGTTCCACCTGAAATTTTATAGGCACATTGGTGATTATGTGTTGAAGTTTACAGAAAGCTATGGCAACATCAACAAAGTAGCTTCTATCTCTTCGTTTGTTTTGATCTGAACTGTCCGACAAAGAGGATCCCTGACATAAATATGCATTGGCAATTTTGCACATAAGCCTCAGTAGCAAGGTGTGAATATCACATAGAATAGTTGATGGAACATGAACATTCTGCAAGCAAAGATATGTCATGTTAGGGGATGCATATAACAGTGCAGCTATAATAGTTGACATAGTTGAAGCATTATATTCTAAGCAAGCTAAAAATAATCCATTTACTGAAACAGAAATGAGTCAAAATACAAAGATACATGATTATCAGAGTGAAAAATATACTAAATTTGCAGACACGATGCTCTTTATCTGTGAAACGAACTGGGAAATTGCCTTCACTTCCTCAGCAAACAAATCGCACTGTAGCATTTTTTGGCTTTCTATCGACTGTGTTTCACCAACAGAGAGATCCGTCTTATGGGAATGAGGAAAGTCTTCCAGGCCAGCTGAAGCAACCAGTATCTGTAGTTTCCTTCGATGACACTTTAAGTAGACATCTATATCCATTGGTTTTGTGTGTTGGCATGCTTTCAGTAAAACATTTAATGCAGATAGTTCAACTGAACAAAAGTCATCATCTGACTTGCATCTCTGACTGTGGGTGTATAATGCACCAAGATGGGCATCTCTTGAGGAAAATAGCAGAGGAGCAAGTATTTCTATGCATTCAGCATATGCACCTTGATCAATTTTTTTATTTATAGTATCCTTCAGAAGAAATTCAACCTCCAATAAGTGGATTTCATGGAGAACTCTATCAACGGTTAGGTTTCCAATGCTTTTGCAGTGAGGCAAGCAAACTGGCTGAGAGACATTTTTATTATCATCATTTGACAACAATGCCAATGAAATAGAAAATTCTTCTCGAGCCTTTGTTTTGTCACCGTCAGACTTTGATAGCTGCCCACTTAACCAAAAATAACGTATCCAAAAGGGATAGTTTTTCTTCAGGGTGCTGCTAGAACAATTTATTGGAACTTCTATTGTATCCACACAATTAAGGTGTAGTGGATAATCTGATGCAACATTTTCAATTATTTTACAAAGATGGTAAGATGTTTCTGACATCAAGAGTGCCGATGTTGATTTATCACTAGAGCGCAATGCAGCATCATAATATAGCTCTGCAAGAAATAAGCTACATTGAGGAGTTCTTTCCTGACCCCAATTCCTTGTCAACTTCTCTAAATCCAACAATTTAGTAATGTCATCCTGATATAGGATGCCTCTAGCAGAAACCTCTTGTAAAAGCAAGTGCCCCATGTGATAGGCACCACTATTGCTACTGGTTTTCTTGATGAAGTCCATAACATCATTGCACTCGTAATAAATAGATTCATCTGTGGTCTTACCATGAAAAGAACTGCTATTTTCACACTTGTATTCACTAACCCCAATTTCATTAACAACAAAAGGTTGTAGAAACTTCTCCACAACTTTAGCCAGATCCTTGTTGTCCATAAAATCTATTTCTTCTTTATCTGGCTTTCGACTCCTGAGCCGTTCAAGACGGCTACTTCTCCTCTCTTGAGGTTGCTCCCCATTACTGATGGTTTCCTTTTCTCTTGAAATGCCACTTTTAGCAGGACTGCGATCACCATTGGAACTGATTTCACTGGCATGAGAGACAATAGGTTCTCTTGTTTGTGCTAAATCTACACTCATTTGTAAAATTCCTGGTACCTGTATACTAATTCTAGTGTCACCAGACCTATACATTCCTTTTTCAAGTTCAGGACCACGTTCAGCCAATGGAAGTAATATTTTTAGGAGCTCATCAGCAAGGGATGTGAAAGTCATTTCGGGAAGGTGAAACTCCATCGATTGCTTCAACTTTTTATATGCAATGCCGCTCTGGCCATCTTCTGTTCCTTTTCTCTTATCTGTAAATTTCAATCGAATATGCTTTGGTTCCAGCTTGTCTATACCTCTTGGGGAGAAGGGAAGTGGTTCAGACTCCTGAATAGTATTTTTTACATGCAAAGCACGAGCATGAGATGGCCAATGCCTTATAACTAGTTGAGCGACAGAAAGGCAGGCAACCTCGTCACCAATGGCAATAAGAACCTCCAAGAGCTTTTCCATGCAATTCCCTGAATATCATTCCAGACCATATTATTGGGAAGGGAGTATATTACGTTTAAAAAAATCAATAAAGACCATATTATTGGGAAGGGAGCTTTTCCTACAAGAGTTCAATAAAGACCATATTATCTCACCAACCAAAAGTTGCATTATATGTTTAATGAATAAATCAACTAGTCAATTCACGAAAAAGGGAGCTCTTGAAAGAGCAGAATTGGTTACCTGTGGTACAACATAGATAAAAGCTATTCAGAAGAAAAGTTATGATATTCTTAGAAATGAAATGTGCATACAATTATTGGGACTGCAACATAATCCTTGTTCAAAAGCCCAGCGTGAAATGCTCAATAACCCCATTGAGCATGATAGAGTTCCCAGCTGATTCCATATGACAGAATCTTTTGTATCAATCTCAACAGCTTGAAGATAGCATTGTAAAGCATTCTCATAGTAGGCAGAACCTTGTTGAAGAAAAACGGTAGCAAGGTTCTTCAGTGCCAAAAATCTGCAAAAAGACTGAATAAGTGTAGGATAATGGCATCCAAGAACTTCTACCTTATCATAAACCAGAGAAAATAACACTGTAATCCGTTCATATGAGTATTGCTATCTCTTGCTTACAACATTTGAACCAGTTTATATTTCCAGAATGAAAAACCAGCAAAGGAGAACTTTGAAGACCTCAAACATTAAAACTTGGCAATAACATGACACTTTTCAGAGTTCTAGTGCACACTAATACCACCAATAAAAAGGATCATCTACCAGTCAAAATCCTGTGTCAGGCCCGTTTTTAATTCAATCTCAAGATAAAAAAAATAAAGGAGCTTGATCTGGACTTGAGTGTATATTATTACATGTGTGCAAGAGAAATGTTTTAAAGTCGTGTTCCAAAAATGCTCTCAGAATAATCATTTATTTGACTGATACCTCGGACAAAATCTACTCCATAAATGAACTGATACCATTAAGGCATTAACTAACAGAAAATTGTCAATACATAACAAATTAACAAGTACCTATATTGATAAATAAGGGGAGAGCCCCATACCTTAGCTGTGAAATGTGGTCATTGGTTGAACTACTATTCACCTAGAAGATGAGGGGGGGCAAAATTTGGTAAGAAACGTACTGGAATGTATAGAAAATTATCAGAATGTACGAAAGTCAATAATGTACAGTACCTTTTCATTTATGATCAAGGGGTCTTTCAAAACAGACTCTAGAAGTTCACGGGCCTTTTCATATTCTTTGGCTTGTAGCTTTATAAGCCCTTCATGATATGTTTGTGAAAGATGAAATTCCTGAGACAGAAAAGGAATCAAATAGATTTTCTATAACAGAAAATGTATATGATGTATCCCCACCCCCACCCTAAAATAAATAAATAAATAGACTACATTGAAATAGATACCTGAAATAGCACTATAATGTCTGAATAATTGAATAAAACGGTTCAAAAATTGTCTTTTAAGAATGGTAGCAAGGGAAAATGAAATGTGTCGGTTCCATTTTTCTCCACTATTTTCCGCATGTTATTAACTCCGACGATGATGCTATGAGTGATTAAGTGTGTTGGGATATTGGCCCATCAAGTAATAGGGCTGACCCAATAACGCAGGTGGCCTTACAAACTCGCCATTGGGGGGACGGCGAGACGCAATCAAAGGGATAACCCAGACAGGATTGGCGGGAGTCGCATTTAAGAACTGCAGTCACTGGCCACACATTCTTCCAAAAAGTTTTTTACCATTTAACTTGTTCTCAAACTGCTCCACAAGAACACTTATAATTTCACCGAGTCTGGTAGTCTAGTCTAACCTTGTCTACTTTCCCCAAGAATTTTTCTTGTTTTCATTATTCTAGTTAATGAATGTACCCTTTTAAATAAGTCCTTAATGTAATATTAGGTGATTATTGTTGGATTTTATGATTTCTAATTTAGAAAACAGTGTCTCCGGGCATTTCAGAAATCGTGACAGATGCATACTAAGGCCAGTGTAAGAATTGAGCATTTGAGAGACTAACATGAAATTTTGGTTCTTTATGCCTTAGTATTCTTACTAGACACACTCAAAGACCATCTATGACTCATACTCATATTTAAGAGTAAAACATTGAGTAAGTTCACAAATACGACTGATGATGCTTTGATCCCAAAACAGACTTATTTAAGAGGATAAAAGCAGTTAAATTCTTTTCAATGAGTGAACTGGTTCTTTTTTGAAAAAAAGGTGGTCCTATTTGAGGAACTGCAAGATTTTTCTCTATTTAATTTCAGAAGCATATAATGTACTCAAGACCTCAAGTAGCATATGATGTGCTCAGATATTCTGAAGGATCCGAAATGAGGAAAACTAATTGTGGGAAAATGTTGTCAGACAAATTTAGCTTAATCTGCAAGGCTCTAACAAAAAATGGCTCATGTATCACACTATTAGAGCAAAATTCAGAATAATAAAGAGAATCAACGCAAAGCACTTTAGAATTAAATACATTCACACGGTAAAAATGGATAAAGTAATTATGTCGGAAGAGTGGAGTATTTTGCCTGTGCTTCTTTCGTAGGGGCAAGAGGCTCCCATTGGCTTCTAGAATCTGTATCGTTGATGGCTGCGATTGAGAACTGCAAAAAAAAAGTTTGTTTGTTTGCTTTGTTACTAAGAAAAAAGAAGAATCGGAGAGGGGCATATTCTTCCACCGGATACGAGGAATTCACTAAAATAAACCCACGTACACCGCAACTCACCATCGTATCTCCCTGTAAAGTCCAACCGTTCGATGGATAGCAATTTCGCTATGATTTCTTCTCCTTTGTTTGTAAAGATTTATGGCGCGCGAAGGGCGAAGCCGCGAAGGCGGCACACTTGCATCTTCATTATTATTACGCCCCAGCTACGACGGTGAGAAATTGTGTCATTTATCTCGTACTCACCAGTCAACAGTATCTAGTGCACTTTTGGTAAGACACAAGTAAGCTTATTGATGTACTCAATTTCTTGATGAAGGGATTGAATTTGCTTATTCCATTGCTTTTAAAAAAAATTGGATGTCCCAAAAAGTTCCACTATCCTTAAATGGCAAGTTATCTACATCAAAACAGTGTTCAAACAATGTCAAAACAGTAAAATTTACCTCTGATAAATTTATTTTCTTAATATGTGTAGGTCAAGCCGGGAACATCTTTGCGGGACGGAGGGAGTACAATATATTTTAGGCTAAAGGGTTAAATAGATTTTTGTACCTTTTCGGATTGTTCAATTCGTTCCCTGAATCCAAAAAAGTTCCAATTGACACCCTAAACTCGATAAAAAGGCCCAAATTTCACTTTTTGCATGTTTCAATCCGGGCACCGTCACGTCACCCGATAGGGTGCCAGCTGTCCATGTGATGTGGCAACTTAAGGGGTCAAATAAGTCCCTGAATCTGACCGAATTGCTCAATTTACCCCCTCAACCCTAAAAAAATGTAAATGTTTTCAAAAAATTAAAATAAGTTAAAAAATTATATAATAATAAATAATAAATAATAAATAAAATTATAAATAAAATACATGTCGAAAATAAAATATATTAATATGAAATATTTATCATTTACGGTGAATTCAAAATAAAAAGTTAAATATAAACTAAAAAGATTCTTTAAATTTATTTCCATTTTTTATAACTACCACATATATTTCATGTAAGAAATAAAAAATGTATTTTTTCCAACTATATTTAAATTTTTTATTTTATGTATTATATCTAATGGTTTGTAATATAACACAAACTTTAGGTTTTGGTTTGATAATTTATACGAAGCATTATGTTTAAATTATCCATTTTTATTTATTCATTTCATATTTTTAATTTATTTAAAAATACACAATTTTTATGTAACTTTTTTTTGAAGTTACTAATTACACTTTTTTATATCTATAGTAATATAAAAATTAATCATATATAAGAATTAAAATATAAAAAATAGTAACTACATATTTATATTATTTATTATAAATATATTGAGTCTTTTTTATGTTTTATATGCAAGAATTAATTTCTTTTAGTTTATATTGTTTTTCTTTCTTTTGAATTAACCCAAAAAAATAAATATAAATATTTCATATTTATATTCTCGACTTATTTTTAATTCTATTTTTTATTTTTTATTTTTATTTCTATTTTTCGTAATTTAAACTTTTTTAAGAGTTGAGGGGGTGAATTGAACAATTTAATCAGGTTCAGGGGCTTATTTGATCACTTAAGTTGTCACGTCACATGCACGGTTGGATCCCTACTGGGGTGACGTGGCAGTGATCGGCATTGTGACCTGTAAAAAGTGAAATTTGGATCTTTTTTATCGAGTTCAGAGTGTCAATTGGTGTTTTTTGAGTTCGGGGGGCAAACTGAGCAATCCAAAAGGGTACCAGGGCCTATTTGACCCTTTAGCCTATATTTTATTAATAAATAAAGAAAAACTTATATGTAATAATAGCTCAAATGATCTATTATAATAACTTTTTCTTAGTATTGAGGGGGTGTTTGGAATTGATTGTGTTTTTGCTTCTCTTTTAAAAATAAAAGTAGAATCAGAATTAGTTTAATGAAACTGGTCTCCCCCAACTTCTAAAAAACTTCTTCAATGAGCATTTTGGAGCACGCAGAAGTACCACTGCATTTTCCTCCAAACACTCCAATATTTGTTTTGAGAAGCAGGTCCAAACACCCCCGAAATAGAATCAAATGGCACGAAAGAACCCAACTTATAAAATCACTTGTAATCCAAAGCCATTAGGAGTTCAAAATGTTAAAGATATTTGTTGGGATATTGGGGTTCGGCCCAATAGTCCCTCATACCAGATGCAGAGCATAGGTTATGTGCCCGACATGTGTATGCTAATTGGTTAGAAAAGTGGAGAGGCAATGAGTTCTGCAAAAAAAATTGGATATGGTCCTGGGATGGAGCACATATGAAGAAAGCTGCACTGAAGCTGCCTATGACCTTTTGAAGTATCCAGTTCAAATTTGGTGTAGAGCATACTTTAGTAATAGAAGTTCATGTGTGGATGGTTGGTAATAACATCACAGAGTCCTTCAATTCATGGATCCGGGAATCAAGGTCAAAACTTATTGTAACCATGCTGGAAGATACATAGTTGAAGGCAATGAAAATAATTTCAGATTTTAAGACAAATCATGACAGTTGGATAAACGATTGGTCTCCCTTATGCATGGAATACTACCAAGACAATAAGGAGGCTGCTAGTGGCTGCAAGCCTTCAATATCATTGATGGAGTATATGGCCCAGGAACCCCCGGTCACGCGGGGCCTTCGTCTACACGAGGAGCCTTCGGCCAAACATGCTCAATCATCGAAGATTCCTTTTGGAGACAGTCAACCACCGCATTTAATGCAACGTCACATCCACCAACCGCATTCAATGCGGTGGACGTACCATTGCCGGTGCCACCCGATTGATGTGACCCCTCGGCCGTTGGATTACTGACACGTGTACTCTCATCGCATTTATTGCTGCTATAAATAGCAGCCCTTACTCTCCTTGTAAACCACGCTGAGTTCATTTAATAAATCGACTCTCTCTCCTCCCACTCGCTCTGACTTCTCTCTAGTTATTCCCGCAATAACCCCTCGGATAAGATACCCCCCGGGTAGACAGTCCATCAATCATTTTTAATGGGGGATGTGGGGTTTGAGATTGGAGAGGGGACAAATAAGCACACAGTTGTGTTGGATAAGATTATCTGCACTTGCAGAGCATAGGAACTCACTGGAATACCATGTTTACATGCCATATGCTCTTTCTATTATAAGAAGGTAGATCCTATCACATACATTTCAAGATGGTATCATAAAGAGACGTATATGGCAGCATATGCAAACGCTTTGCAACTGGTACCTGGAAAAGCTTTCATGAAAGCTGATGATTATGAACTCATTTTACCTCCCCCAGTGCCAAACCTACCTGGCAGACCAAATAAGAACATGGTTAGATCATCTACTGAGGTCAAAGGATCAGAAAGTGCTTCTAAATCTGTCAGTGGTACACCTCAGATATCATCAAGAAAAGGGAGACTGCAAACGTGTGAGATATGCCATAAAGAGGGCCATAAGAGAGCTACATGTCTAATAAAGATAGAGATGTAAGTTGTCAAGTACTTTGACTTTGTAAACTGTAATATTGATTTATTGTGTTTTCATGAGTTTTTACTGTTTTTATTAGGCAAATGTTGAAGAAGCAGAAGGGAACGCACATATACCAGCGAAGAGACCTGCTAGTGTTGCCTTTCATCAATTCCTACCACTTCGGAATCACCTCCACCAACAAATCCACTCACTAATGCTAGAAGGAGTACTGGTAAGTCTAAAGTCAAATGTAGAAGAACAACAAGGAATATAAGTAAACAGTCTGTGACAGGCTTTGGGTGCTATGTTGATCTGAACAATGGTGAGAAGACTTTAAATGTGAGTATCAACGGGTTTTAAGTAAGTGGTTTAGCTTGTTGATGTATTGAAATAAGTTTTTTTTTTATTTCTAATTTTACCTTCATGTACTTGTTTATGTGATAGGTTTTGGGTGCTATGTTGATGTGAACACTTGGATGAACAGTGAGGAAATAGTTTCAGATTTCCAGCCTCAAATGCCACATGACTCTGATGTTACAGTCAGATTTGCAATCCCAAATGAAAAATATATCAGAGGGGTTGCCCGGGCTGAGAACCAGTTAGATGTCCCAACATATAGAACAATACCAAGGGTGATGGACTGATGGTACACAGGCGCAAAATCCAGCAAACCTACCTTTACAACCACCTGGTCTGCAATGGAATGGGAATGAAGCAATCACCTCTAGGCAGTTGTTACAGGAGATTCAAATCAGGAGGTCGGGTCCCATTCCAAAGTGAACATGTTGAAGCAAGTCTGGAAATCAGGACGAATGAAGACTTGTGTGTTTTATTAGAACACTTTTAGGCAGTTTGTATGTATTAGCTTATTCGTTTTTTTCAATCAAGTCGTATGAAGACTCACTGGCAGCATTAGCTTTTTTGTATGAAGTTTTACTACTTCTGACACTATAAACAACCATTGTGCTATTTTGGGGGTGCTAATTTAGGGGTTATAATTTTTTTAAAATTTTGTAACCTCATTAACAATCAGTATTATGACCTATAATGATGTGAAGTTATGATATGAGTTCTTATACGTTAGCAAGATTACTTAGTTGTTGAATGTTCCCTTTGCATCAAGATGGCATCAGGGCTTTGTTTTACCATCTGCCACTTGAGGCCATTCTTTTACCACCTTGTGATAAGTTGTTAATATTTATTATTACTTATTTATCAGTATTTGATAGTTGATAGCAGTACTATTCCACTGCCTAACCTTGTTACTTGATTAGTGGTGTTAAGATATTTGATTTCATATAGGGTTGATATCAATAATATTTCAGTAGGTATTAAGAGTATGGGATTAGCTTTTGACCTCATGCTCTCAAATGGTGTTATCAGTAAACTTTGTTACTTCATTGTTTTTCATTAGTGGTGTTATCATTAGTGTTTCAGAATCTAAAAACTTATAAGCCTCAAAGAGGGTTATATCCTTTTGGGAATTAAAAAAATGTTGGTGTAATAGTTTGCTAAATGTATTTGTACATTGTGCTTTCAACTTTGAACCAGAAATTAATACCCAGTAACCTTCTGTTAGTATTGCCTAACCCCGTTACTCCCGTAGCTCCCCTCATCTATTACTCCGTACATAGCACGAAATGAGAAGGATGAACTCTTTTGAGATTTTGTACTCTTTTCACTACATTCACGAGAAGAGTATCAGGCTTGCGGGAGACAAACAGGACGATAGAAACGACGACAGGAGGTAAAATCACTACATGCCTTATCTTCGCGACTCCCTAAGTTTTGTGGTACATCACAACAGATTTAGGAGACGGAACCAAATTGCATTGTTGGGTTCTCAAATC